GGACCCGAGCAGGCCGCGCCGCCGGAACTCTAAAGCTCAGGGCCCAGTGGGGACAGGTTCCTCCCGGGCGCCACGGCGCCGCGGCGCGAGGGGCGGGGCCGTCGGCAGCCAATGAGCGGGCGCCCGCCCACCCGCGGCCCAGTGGCGGCGGCGCGCGGGCACGCTGGGGGCGGGCCGAGCGCGCCCGACTTTTCCAGAAGACCCGGAGAGCGCCTCGCGGCCACGCCGAGCCGGCTCCGCGCCGCGTCTCCTCCTCTTTCTCTGCCGGAGCAGCCATGGCGGCGGTGAAGACGCTGAACCCCAAGGCCGAGGTGGCCCGAGCCCAGGCAGCGCTGGCGGTCAACATCAGCGCCGCACGGGGGCTGCAGGACGTGCTGAGGACCAACCTGGGGCCTAAGGGCACCATGAAGATGTAAGGCGGGGCTAGGGGGTGGGGGGGTTGCCGGGCGGGCCCAGGGCCGCGCTCCGGAGCCTGCCGCCCCCGGACCTCCGCGCGCGCCCCTGTGGCGTTCTTCCTCGCATCCCCCCGGGTGGGTCCCCGGTCCCGAGTCTCGCGCGGAGCCCCTCTGCCCGCCGACCACTTCCTCTCGCGTCGACGCCGTCTCCGTGGAGGACAAAGCTGCCCTCGTGGGCGGCGCTCCCCGCCCTCGGGGACTCCCGGCCACGCCGAGGATTCCGGAGTTGGGGGGTGGGGAGGGCGTCTCGGCACCGGTCCGCCCCCCGGGAGGAGGTAGCCGACCCCGTGACCCTGGCTGTCTAGGATCTGGAAAGAGCCCGGTTTTTATGGGACTCTTAATTCGGTTTTCGTTGGAAAAGTCACGCTCATTCATTTCTGCCCATTGAACAGGCTTGTTTCTGGTGCGGGAGACATCAAGCTCACGAAAGACGGCAATGTGCTGCTTCATGAAATGGTGAGATGCTAGCTCGGAAGGGACCCACGTGTCGTAGTGTATTTGATTTGTAGAAATGTTTTTAGTGTTCTCAAGGTAGGAGAAAGTTATATTCTTCGTGTCTTAGTAGGTAGTCGATCAGAAAAGGAATGTGATCACTGACGGTACAATACATTGAGAAGCCTGGAGTGTGAGAGGCCTGCGTGTAAGCCCCTGCTCTTTTGCCATTCACAGTCTGGGCTAAAGGATGTAATAGTATGTTAAAGCTAGTTGTAAGACAGTTTTTAAAAACTGAGGGCGATTGACACAATCACGTGGGCAAAATGCAGCAGCAGAGCGATGGTTTTTCTCTTTTTCAAACAGTGAATTATCTGTTACAACTCACTTGCAGCTGGAGGGTAGATAAAATCCCTTGGTGTCAACATTTTTAAAATCCCAGGGATCAAGAACATGAGATTATGGAGGGGAACATCTCGTTTGCTTATCCCTAAATTTCCAAAACCTAGCAGTTCAAATCCAGGAAAAGGAAATGACTTGACTCTGATTTGAGTTCTGAATAAAATTTAGGGTTTTGATAGTGGTATACCATGCCATCAACATCCAGGTATTCATAAATATGTTCTGTAAAGACTAGCTAACCTAGGTGTAGTTTTTGCTTGTAGTAGGCTAAGTGGTGGCCTGTGCTAGTAGAGAACAAGTGGAGCCATAGTTAATTGATGTCAGAAAAGCCGTATCTGTGTGGCTTTTTAATTTTATTTGGCTTTTATTATAAAATAAAATACAGAGATGCACATTAAGCATTTGCAGTTTGACAATTAATTATGAAGTGAACACATGCAGCCACTACCTTAGCTAAGAAATAAATCATTGCCATCATCTCAGAAGTCCCCACCCCCTTAGGCCTCTCTTCAATCTCCTGAGGTCTATTTTTCAGTTTTTTTCTTTGAAAATTTCACACCTGCAAAAAAGTTGGGAAAGTAGAATAGTCGTATGCCTTTTACCTGAATTCATCAATTATTTACATGTTGCTTATTTCATTTCTATTGTCCCCGTGAATTACTTGAAGGTGAGTTGCAGACGTGCCATTTTACCTCTGAATTACTCTTCGTGAGCTAGAACATTTATTCTTCCACATTGTCACAGTGTCATGATCATACTTAATAACATTGATGACATTATACAGTCCATACACAATTGTCCCTTCAAGTGTTCTTTATTCTAGCTGTTTGCTGCTATTTCCCCATGTCCAGTAGAAAAATGTTCATAATCTGACATTAGCCTGTTATAATATGACACTGAGACCTAAACGGTATCACCTGCATAGTTTTTTTCCAAAAATATTTGACATTGGCAGTTTAGGTAATGAGAGAGTCTATAGACTGGCCTAGAATCTGAAAAATTGTCAGTGACCCCGAAGAGGACAAAAAGGCTGAGATAGTGTTCTAGATTAAAGAAGAATAAAGAGACAAAAACCAAATGCACTGTGGGAGCCTTGTTTGGATCTTTTGTAGTTAAGACTCTGGGGCGACCTTGGAGACATGGTGAATATCCTGTTCTTTTAAAACCTTTCCACACAGGGATTTAGCATCCACGATGACGTATGCTAAGAAGACTGTTTTTCCTTTTTAATTATTTGGTCAGTGCCAAGTAATATTGGAGGCTGCTGGGCTTTCATTTTAGAAGGTACCTGACTTATTCTCACAAGAGCCCTGCACTTGTCATAAAGGGGCATGGGTGTAAAATTGCATGTTACTGTTGACTTGTTAGCTCTGTCATCTTAAGTGGACCTTAATTCAGCATCATGCTTCCTTATCTGTAAAGTGGAGATAATCTGGGGTGTACATTTACACACAAAAATGTTTCAGTCATTATAACTGTATGTGTAAAGTAGCTAACTGTGACTTTTTTTAATCAAAGTATTAATGTTGCCAAACATTTGGGCAGTATTTTCAAGTAGATATCACTTAAAGAGGTACTTCATGCATTTTGTTTGTGGTATATTTGGACTGCTTCATTTCAGGTTTTTTAAAGTGATTCATTCTTTTTCTGCTTTCAGCAAATTCAGCACCCAACAGCCTCCTTAATAGCAAAAGTAGCAACAGCCCAGGATGACATAACTGGTGATGGTACTACTTCCAATGTCCTAATCATTGGAGAGCTACTGAAACAGGCGGATCTCTACATTTCTGAAGTATACATAGCTCTTTTGTTTTTGTGGCATTTTATTATGTATAGAAAGTGTCTGATAATCATTTATACAAATGTGTTAATAGCTGATGCCATACAGTAGAGTCGGAGCTTAAGTCTGGGTACCTGGGTATTTATCCTGGTGTGACAAAAATTATTTGGGATTTTGGACAGGTTATGGAACTTTCTTTGGTCTTTAAAAAAAAATCTTTTTTAACAAGCTGCATTGCATATATGATTTATATCTGTCTCTATAACATAGATTAAAAATTTAGATCTAAAAATGGAATGTTTGGTGCTGGGCATAATTTATTTATTGGAAAGAAGCCACCAAAAGCTTACATTTAAGTGAGAATTCCACAACTTTTTAGCCCCAAATACCAAACCTCAATGAGTACTAATCCACTGTCAGAAAGAATTTCCTGGGAAAAGAAAGCAAACACTTATTCTTTGTTGAATATTTTTATTAGTAAATTATGTGAATTAGTTTCAGATTATCTATAGAAAAAATAAATTCCTACTGCCTACAAATCGTTAGGATACAGTTTTGGGGTTTGACATTATTGCTGGTGATTTGCACAGTGAACACCCAAGTGTGCTTTATAGTTCCCTTGGCTTTGACCCTGTGCTAGAGCAATACCTGTTCTTCTCCTCTGCATTGAAAGGAGTATTTATCCTTTTAAGTGTATTCAGAAAGCCAGTACATTATATCACCTTAATTGTATAAAAAGTGTGAATGATCCAGAATATCCTTCAAAATTATCTGAACTTTATCATGAAATATAGCTGCACATAATTGAAGATACAAATGTAATTGTGAGTTTATGATAGGGTCTTCATCCCAGAATAATCACTGAGGGATTTGAAGCTGCAAAGGAAAAGGCCCTTCAGTTTTTGGAACAAGTCAAAGTAAGCAAAGAGATGGACAGAGAAACACTTATAGATGTGGCCAGAACATCACTTCGTACTAAAGTTCATGCTGAACTTGCAGATGTCTTAACTGAGGTATGATAATTTTCATATGTGTCTGGTATAAAACATCTATGTAGAAAATTCCTGATAGTAGAAATATAAGTATACTTAGCAGTTCCAGTCATAATAATCATAATCATATCTAACCATAATCGTATCTAGGTCTTTACAATATCATACTGTGTAAAATAAGTAGGTTTGTTTTTATGGCGGTGATACCTAATCTTTGTCTCCAAAAAGTAAAATGAGGGAATTCAAATAATGGTATACCTGACCCAGTTGTAAAAGTATAATTGGAGCTTTCATTAAAAGTTTTCTAAAATGGAGATTTTGTTATTAGAAGGTACCCAGTTATCAGTATTTTTAATAAAACAGCAGTGAGGTAGTATTAGACTTCTGAAAAAAAAGCGACTGAAGTGCTTTGACCTCTGCAAATTGAATGTATTTAATGGTTAATCTCCTATTGCAGGCTGTAGTGGACTCTATTTTGGCCATTAAAAAACAAGATGAACCTATTGACCTCTTCATGGTTGAGATCATGGAAATGAAACATAAATCTGAAACTGATACAAGGTAGGTAGTAGAATAGTATGAACTAATAAAGTGTGTTTATAAATGCTTCATAGCTTTGTGTAATACATATTTTTGGTAGTTTTTTATGTAAGTATTCATATGTGTATTTTTCTGTGATGTTATGATTACACATACTGGTTTTTGTTCACGGTCCCTGGTTCAAAACTCTTATATATGGCCCATTACAGTCTTTTATTACAACGTTGGAAACAGAATGTCTCTGATCTCCTGCCCCCCTTTTTCCTGCCTTAAGGCAGGACTCTAGTCTTCCTCTGCCTTCTGATTGTGGGCTTTAGGACCTTCCCCAGAGAGGGTACTGCCCCATACTTGTGGGGAAGGAATGCTGACATCATGAAGCTTCCATCAAAGACCAAGAGGATTGGGTTCAGAGGGCTTCCAGAGAGCTGGACGTGTGAAGGCTCCTGGAGGGTGGTGTCCAGGGAGGGCATGGAAATTGCACACTCCTCCTTCAGTGCTTTGTCCTACGAATCTCTTCACCTATATCCTTTGCGATAAACCAGCAAATATTCTTTATAGTGAAAAACTAAATGTGTTTCTCTGAGTTACATGAACTGCTCCAGCAAGTTAAACCCATAGAAAGGGGGTTGTGGGTACCCCAACTTGAAACTGGTCAGTCAGAAGTTCCAGTGGCCCAGACTTGTGACTGGTGTGGGGAGCAGGGGCTGTCTTGTGGACGGAGCCCTCACCCTGTGGGATCTCATTCTTCATCCATGTAGTGTCCGAGTTGACTAGGAAGATACCTAGCTAGTGTCTGCTGCTTGGTGTGGAGAGGAACCCTTGCATTTGGTCACAGAAGTCTTCTGTTTTGTTTGTTGTGGTGTGAGAACAGGAAAGACATGATTAGAGAGTTGTTCCATAAAGCATCCAATGATATAAATTGAATACATTGCTAAGTGAGTATTATATTTACCCTTAACAATATTTTCTCTTAAAATAGGGTTTGAATGTTACACTATATTCATAGTCAGAATGATTCTGAAAAAATACATTAGTCATTCAGTATTTATTCAACTGCTGGATACAAAGCATAATGGGTGGTTGCTGAAAATTTTTTAAAAAATTGTTTTCAAACCTATTTAGAAAACTTATTTTTAAAGGGGGTGATCACATTTGATAGCCTACCAGTTGAGACTGTCTCTAGAATTTTCTGCACAAGATGGGGTTGTTACTTTTATTTGAATGGTTTGTCATCTCCTGTAATAATTCTTTTCACAGTTTACCTGCCTAGGTTTCACCCAAAAGTCTTCTTCAAGTAATAAAGCTGACTGTGTGAAAACTAGCAATGCAGTCTCAATTCAGTGTTGATTTTGTTAATATTTAATTGTACCCTCATTTGGAAATCCTTAGCAATATAATGTTTTGTATGTTTTAACAGCTTAATCAGAGGGCTTGTTTTGGACCATGGAGCACGGCATCCGGATATGAAGAAAAGAGTGGAAGATGCATATATCCTCACATGCAATGTGTCATTAGAGTATGAAAAAACGTGAGTTTATGGCCCATAACAATGGGATACAGGAATGGAGGAGCTTTTTACTTTGGGCAAGTCACTTTTTTGTGAAACTCGGTTTCCCATTGTAGGAACAGTGCCTCGGTTTGGTTTGGGAGATTTATTGGAAACAACCTCTGAAAATGTACAAGGGGCAGGATTGGAGCTCAGTGTTTTATTTGAAATCTTAAGGCTAATCCAGTTTTAGAGCTATCTTTTAAAAATTAACATTTTTTTCTTTGTAACTTTTTTTTGATAGAGAGGTGAATTCTGGCTTTTTTTACAAGAGTGCGGAAGAGAGGGAAAAACTAGTAAAAGCTGAAAGAAAATTCATTGAAGATAGAGTTAAAAAAATAATAGAACTGAAAAAGAAAGTCTGTGGTGATTCAGATAAAGGATTTGTTGTTATTAATCAAAAGGTAAGAATGAAAATTTTATTTTTAAACTAAGTGATACGTATCATCCTTTTATTTTAAAGGTAAAAGATGTTGAAACTAATTTTCATTTTTATTATAGGGAATTGACCCCTTTTCCTTAGATGCTCTTGCAAAAGAAGGCATAGTAGCTCTGCGCAGAGCTAAAAGGAGAAATATGGAGAGGTATGTATAGCAGATTTATCTGAGTAATATGACTTATTTTGCAAGTGAATTGGGATTATTCCACTTCCCCTTTATTTTATTTGTGGATTTTTCTTCCCCTAGAGTCTGCCTATGCTCGACCTCTCACCCAGGCTAGAGTGCAGTGGCATAATCATAGCTTATTGCTGCCTCAAACTCCTGGACTCAAGCAGTCCTCCCACTTCAGCCTGAGTAGCTGGGACTACAGGTGTGTGCTGCCAAGCCCAGCCAATTTTTTATGCTTTGTTGAGATGAGGTCTTGCTATGTTGTCCAGGCTAGTCTCGAACTCCTGGCCTCATCTCGGCCTCCCAAAATGCTGGGATTGCAGATGCGAGCTGCCATTCCTGGAAGTGTATAATTCAGTGATCTTAACTACATTCACGTTATTGTGCAGCCATCACTAATATCTATCTCCAGAATTTTTTAATCATCCCAAGCTGAAACTCTGTACCCATTAAACAGTCACTCTCCATTTTTCTCTCCCCCCAGCCCTTTGTAAACACTGTTTTAACTTTTTTGTCTCTGAATTTGGTATTCCACATAAGTAGAATTATACGATTATTTGTTCTTTTGTGTCTGGCTTACTTCACTTAGCATAGTGTTTTCAATGTTTATGTAACATTCCTTTTTTTTTTTTTGAGTTGGAGTCTCACTCTGTCGCCCAGACTGGAGTGCAGTGGCCGCTCCTGGCCACCGCAGCCTCAACCTGCTGGGCTCCGGCGATCCTTCCGCCTCAGCCTTTTCAAGTAGCCGGAATTACAGGCATGCGCTACCACGCCTGGCTGATTTTTTGATTTATTGTAGAGATGAGGTCTCGCTGCCCAGGCGGGTCTCGAACCCGCGGGCTCAGGCAATCCACTCACCTCAGCTTCCCAAAGGCGCAGGATTACAGGCTGAGCCACCAAGCCCGGCTAACATTCCATTTGTAAAGTTGAATAATACTCCATTGTATGTAGGCACCACATTCAGTTTATCTGTTGATGGACATTTGGGTTGTTTCTGCCTTCTGACTATTGTGAATAATGCTGCTATGAACATTAGTATATACTTGCTTTATTGTTAAATCATGGCAGTAGACAATATCTAGCACTACAGTGTGTGCATATTGTAGTCCCAGCTACCGGGGAGGCTGAGGTAAAGGGGATTGCTTGAGCCCATGAATCTAAGACCAGCCTGGGCAATATAAGGAGACCTCATCTCAAAAAAAAAACAGACAAAAATCAAGTTTTGGAGAAATCCTTTCTCCCAAGAGCTCACCACAGTAATGAACTCTTGACTATCTTTAGATTTCATTTGTTGACTGGGAGAGTGGTTTAAATGGAGGGTTAGGAGAAAAGACTAGTTTTCAGCTGGTTGGTTCCAAATGGAAAGGATTAGGTTAAAGTACATTTTACAATATAATTTGAGTGTGTAATTCTGAAAAATTACTTACTAAAACTTAGTAGTCTTCTCTTTGAGCATAACTGGTAACATTGTTTATATATCTTCCTTAAAACTAATATTTCAGGTTGACTCTTGCTTGTGGTGGGGTAGCTCTAAATTCTTTTGATGACTTGAATCCTGACTGCTTGGGACATGCAGGACTTGTCTATGAATATACATTGGTAAGTGTATTTTCTTCCTCCTGAAGGTAACAGTTCTTTTTTAGTTCATGGATTCTTTGGTGGAAAAACTAATTGAAATTCGGGATCAGGTTTTTCTTTGTTTACATTTTGATGGTTTACATATAGTAATGACAAGCCATTGATGGGGAAAACTATATTCTTTTGTATGTGATTTTTCAAAAAGAAATAGTTTTGCTTTATGTGATCAATGTTGTTCCCTATTATGCTGCTTGTTCCTTCCATAAGCCCCCTTTTCTTCACTTTTTGCACAACCAAATCCTGTTTTTTAAAATAATATTTCTTCTACACATAGGGAGAAGAGAAGTTCACCTTTATTGAGAAATGTAACAATCCTCGTTCTGTCACATTATTGGTCAAAGGACCAAATAAGCACACACTCACTCAAATCAAAGATGCAATAAGAGATGGCTTGAGGGCTGTCAAAAATGCTGTTGATGATGGTAAGATGCCCATCATATTTAAATTGTATTCTGTTGGTATGAAAGGCATGGCAGAATACTGTGTTCTTTCATCAGTAGTTTACACAGCCAGACACCATGCAAAAGTAGTCTTCCCTTTAAAATGACTGGTGGTATGCTAAGTTTTTCCAGAGCATATCATTACTAAAGGCGATTACAAACAAATGAACTAATACTGATAGCTTGAAAGAGCTACCAGTTGCAAGTTAAACTGGAAATGTATTGGCAGTTTATTGTTGTGTCATTCTGTTGTCAGATGATAGTTGCTTTCAAATGCAGTATTTAAATTGTCAAAGTAAGCTTGCAAGACCTGAATGACTTTCGTATGTATGTTTGTTTTCTTATAGTTGGTTCTACAGTGGATTTTTTTTTTTGGTCGCTTAGCATTTCTGTTCTTTCCCTCTGCAACAGGCTGTGTGGTTCCAGGGGCTGGTGCAGTGGAAGTGGCGATGGCAGAAGCCCTGAGGAAGTATAAACCCAGTGTAAAGGGCAGGGCCCAACTCGGAGTCCAGGCGTTTGCTGACGCGTTGCTCATTATCCCCAAGGTTTGAGCATTTAACGGTTTTCTCAGCTACAACAAAATGGTTCAGCTCGATCAACTTTTTTTGACAGTGTAGGTTTTTCTTATTATGTGAATTTTGGATCAGCAAATTTGATCATTTTGTTTCCTGACTCTAAAACAGGTATTCCTCATCATCTAAATATATTTTGTTCCTTTGGGAGGCCTGAGTAGCTGAAGTTTCAAATGGCAAGAGATAAGAAAAGTTTCAGTAACGGTTATACTTTAGTTCAAACTTGCTTTTTGTTTTAGTTAAACTGATGAACATCATTTTTTTCTATTGTATGCACATTTGGAGATGTAGTTTATGATCAGTGAACTGCTGGACTTGGGGGTAAATTAGTGAGTTGTTCAGTAACTTGTGTCTGGTTATTCTCTGAAGGGCTCATAATGTTCTGTCTTCATTCGGTAAGGATTTATTTAAATTAGAAGTGCTGTTCATTTATTGTATACTTAACTATCTTAGTTTCTGTCTTCTCAGTAATTAAATTTGTTTACTTTAGGTTCTTGCTCAGAACTCTGGTTTTGACCTTCAGGAAACATTAGTTAAAATTCAAGCAGAACATTCAGAATCAGGTCAACTTGTGGGTGTGGACTTGAACACAGGTAAGAGAAGGATGAAACTATTTTCTAAAGAGAATTAGATAATACGCATGAGGTAAAGCTATGAAAGATAAAAAGTAAGAGCAGAATAATCTTTTGTTGCTTTGCAGTTTGACACCAGTACTATCAGGGAACACTGAATTTTAAAGTGAATTAAAATACAATATAAAAATGGAATGGCTAGATACAGTAATTAAGGGAATGGAGTAGACTTGCATACTTTCAGAGTACAGATTTGTTGGAGATGTTGAGTGGTGATAGATGGTTCAGGTTAATTTTGAAGAATTTTCATATACATTTGCCTTATACAGTTCTTTAAATCGGGAACTTGGGTAAGAAAAAAATATTTTCAGTGATTATATTCATGGGTATGGAAAAGCTGTAAGACAGCAAATAGTGCCAGAAAAGCGAACTGAGAAATCTAATGAAATGATTGTAGCCCCTGTCCTAGATAGCTGTTACAACACAAATTATAAAATTACAAAAAAGTAGAAGACAGATATATCTGTGCAATATGTGCAAGACCTATTGTGTCAGCATTGTTAATTTAATAGAAAAGTTTTCTGGAATGAGGGAAATGATAAGCCCATTTGAACCAGATTATAGTTCAAGTGCTGTACTTTAGTATGGATAAACAGAGATATATCCAGAAGAACAGAGAAATGTTCAAACGTTTGGTAACCAAAGAGTACCAGATCACACTTGAAGTTTTCTACGTGGGAGTCAGCCAGTCATCAAAGATTTTGTGCACAGGATTGATGACTTGGAGTGGAAAACTGGACTAATAGAGAAGCTTTGAATTCTCATAGTTAATACTGGAGGAAATGAGTAATCGGTAATAAGCAAAGCAGCACATCAAAATACTGTTCTTAAAGACAGATCTAATCTTATGACCTACTCTTAATTTAAGAAGACTTGGTTCCTTTTCAGGTGAGCCAATGGTAGCAGCAGAAGTAGGCGTATGGGATAACTATTGTGTAAAGAAACAGCTTCTTCACTCTTGGTAAGCTTGGGAAAACCAAAACTAAAAGTAACCTTTAGGGAATCATACTCTTCATTTGGAATGTTCTGTGTTACTTGCTCTTTTTCCCATAAATAATGTGATCAATTGGAAGTATAGAAGCGTAATTGTTCCTTTATGTGAATAGGGGAAAGGAGAAATTTGATTGGATGTAATATACTGGGTATAATTATATTGGATGTACAGCTTAGTTGGAAATGGGAAGTTGAGTTAAATTAAAGTTTAAATCATCTGAACCATGTAATTTTCCTCCTTTCAGCACTGTGATTGCCACCAACATTCTCTTGGTTGATGAGATCATGCGTGCTGGAATGTCTTCTCTGAAAGGCTGAATTGAAGCTTCCCTTGTATCTGACTCTCGAAGACTCTACACAGTGATCCTGAGGAATACAGTTGTGGAATTTTCGTCCAAGCTGCAAATGATTTTCAAAGGAATTTTCGTGTCCTATATGAAAAAAAGGAGAGAACAATAATGGCACCTATTCAAATTCTGAAGTTCTGAAATTATAATTACAGTATTTTTTTAATTGCACTGAAGTAGACATACATAAGCAGGACCTTTTTACCCAGTGAACAGGATGTTTTGCTTAGCTGCAGTGACATAAGTACTTATGTGTTAGATAAGCATATGTTATCTACCTTGTTATTAAATATTCCTTGGAAAACAAATTTTAATCGTTTAATAATTTTTTGTAGAGATAAGGGTCTTGCTGTGTTGCCCAGGCTGGTCTTGAACTCCTGGGCTGGGCAAGCTCAAGCAATCTTCCCACCTTAACCTCCAGTAGCACTGGGATTATAGGTGTAAGTCACTGCACCTGACCTAAGAATTTCTAATGTGGATATATTTTAAATGAGCTAAAGATGCCCTATTAAGCATTTAAGCTTAAAGTGTTTATGCCCATATAAAATCACTTAAGTAATTTAAGATTTTGAAGGTGTCCCTGTTTCCCTAGTATAAATTTCTATGAGTAAGAGTTCTTGGATCAGTTGGGCTTCTCAAATTTTTGAAATAGCTTTGCTAAAATGCTCCCCCAGAAAAATTGTAGAGGCTAGGAAGAGGGGCAAAGGAGTTGGGAGCTCTGCAAGTATAAAGTGGCAAAAATAGAAGAGGATGGGTAAAAAGGTGGCTGAAAGGCTAAGGGCTAGGGTTATTGGGTGAAATACGAGATTTTTAGACTAGTCATATTTTAAAGCTTCTGAACTTCTTGCTTATGCAAAATACCCATTCCGAACACTCTGGTGTCATTTTCTCACTTAAATTGCTGTTCTCTCTTACGTGTTTCCATGAGATTGTTCTACAGTAGGTGTATCTGCAGTCCTTGAAGGCAAAGTTGTGTGTTACTGAGCTCTGTATTTTGAGGGCTTAGCAGTTGCCTACAGTGAGTGTACAATAAATGTTAAGTGGAAACCTCTTCTCTGGTCTTGCGATGGTACAACAAAAGCGATGTCAATACAAATAGAAATGTATCTGTCTGAAAATGCGAAAAGCCGCGGGAGACTGGTCTTTACCAGCTCCGCGTCTGGCTGCAGTCCTTGATCTGGCGTGCTGGGCGGGCGCGGGGTGCGCATGCGCGGGCAGGGACCGACCTGCGTAGCGCGCGCGGGCGCGGGCGCGGGCGCGTGCGCGGCAGGGCCGCGTGGTGTGCGTTCCCTGCCTGTCCTGCCGCCGGCATGGGGGTCTCGCTGTCGCTCCGGTCGCTGCTGCTCAGCGCGTGGCTCTCCCTAGGTCAGTGTGCTGGCCTGCCCGCCTCCAGCTGGCGCCACTTGTCCCAGGAGGTACCGAGAAGTCCCGGGAGGGTTGCGGCAGCACACCCTGGCAGGGCCAGACCGCGGCCCCGCTGCCCGCTTCCTGGATGGGCTGGGAGTGGCCGCGGCGCCTCCCAGAGGCGGCCGACTTGGGGAGGTGCCCAACAGCTTGAGAACCTCGCCGTTTCTTTGCTTTTAACTTCTTGTCTGGGAATCTTGCGAACGTAAGAAAGTAAAGAGAGTATAGCGACACCCGCTCCCCTCCTCGCCACGTACTCGTCACCCGGCCGTAAGCCGCCGGTTTGTGGCCAGTCTTGCTCCTTGGGAATCCCACTTTCCGCTCTCTTCAGGAGCCATTTCAAGGTGAATCCAGGCATCGTAAATTTTTAATCGGAAAAAGTTCATCTTGAATAGTCACGAGAGAAATCACGAAAAACAAAAATACCATTTCCCACCTAAAAAGTTGAGAGTACCTCAGGTTGTCCAGGTTCGTCTATTATCTCACAAATGTTTTATTTTAGTTTGCTGGTCGGATTAGGGTCAAAATAAAGTTGATACATTGCAGTTGTATGTTGGTGCTTAATTCCCTTCTAATGTGGGATTTCCCTGCTTGCTCCTTTTTTTCCCTTGCAATTTATCTGTTGAAGGAATGGGTGAAATCAGTGTGAATGTGTCAGAATGAGAAGTGAGCCAAAGATAGGATCCCGAGGAACGCCCAAAGGCCTGGACTCTGCCTTTAAGGAACTTATAGTGCTTAGACATTCCTTCTCGGAAACAACACCATGAAATGGTACATCAACCAGTGAAGTATGGCCTATTGGAAACAGCACTATAAAGAGGTGTAGATCTAGTCCTGTCTCTTGCTAACCAGCTGTTTTAAATCATTTTCCTTTTCTGGGTCTTAGTTTCCTCCTGTGAAATAAGGAGGTTGAACGAAGGTCCTTTTTATTCTATAATTTTCCGAGGCATTTAAACAAGTTTAAAGGGACTCGTTCAATTATTTGATGATAATCGTTGTGCACTTGTGGTAGGTGCCAAAGACACTGGCAAGATAGATGTAGTTCCTTCCCTCCTGGAGCATAAGATAAAATAGTGAGAATTATTAAGAATTGATAAGAGTTCAATAAGTGGAGAGGAAGAGACAAAAAAAAAAAAAAAACCAGCATGAGCAAAAGTATGGGAAGAAAGTACTAGATGTATTTTATGATAGAGTGTCTAGATTTACCTAACTGGGGCAAAGGGTTATATAGAAGAATAAAGAGGTAAGTGAAACCTATCATTTGTTCAACATTTCACATGTAGTTTTAATTCATGCAACGGCTGCCTAAGAGATAGTTAGATGTTATCCCCGTTCTATGGATGAAGAAGTTGAATCTCAGATTGAGTAATTTGTCAAAGATCTCCCAGAAAATTAAGTGGCAGAACAAGAATTTAAAGGCAGATGTTTAAACCTCTATGTTTTGTTTTGTTATCCCATTATGAGTAACACATATAATCCAAATATTGCCACTTTTTTTTTAGATGCATGTATTGCTTTCCTTTTTCTCTGCAGGGAATGGACAGGCTACTAGTATGGTCCAGCTACCAGGTGGGAGATTTCTGATGGGAACAAATTCTCCAGATGGCAGAGATGGTGAAGGACCTGTCCGGGAAGTGACAGTAAAACCCTTTGCTATTGACATATTTCCTATCACCAACAAGGAGTTCAGGTATATCAGATGTTCTTCCAGGAGGAATAAATGCCGTTTGTAATCTCTTTCTTAATACCTAAAGGGATATGAGCTTGTTCTCTATCACATATTGTCTTTACAGTGGGATAAGTATTATTTATGTTATTCAGATAAGTATTTATGATACTGTGGGATAAGTATTATTTATGTTATTCAGATAAAGAATCTGAAGCCCAAAGAAGTGTAACTGACTTTCTCAGTTAGTGGACAAGCTGGGCCTAGAACTCAAATCCTGACTCTTGAGCCAGTGCATTTTTCATTACACTGAGCATAGTACTGACAAATAAAAGCAAAAGTCAGACACTCAATAGAAACCTCTTCTACAGTGAGGGAGAGATTGAAAGAAGGGTCATACTAGGGAATTTGAGTTTCTCAAGTTCCCTTTATATTTGTTGAGGGAAATGGCATTATTTTAGGAGTCACACGTTGTTCCAACTCAGTCTAAGAAGCCATGTTGAGCTGTGTTGGTTTTCCCGAGACCATATGCTTTGAGTAGGCTAAAGTGAAAAATAATCCAGAAAATATCTGTAACTTAACCTTCAGATGATATAGGGGGAAATATATACTGGGGGTGCCAAGAAAACGTACACACATTTTAAGTGATACTATCTATGTATCACTTTTGGAAGTTGAATTGAATTATGGTAGCAATGTGTAGTATGATGTTCGCTCAAAAGATGATGTTAATCAAATGAATGCTAGCGTCGCTAAGGGACAGGCAGGACAGTCAAAGAAAATGGCGGAAGCACAGTTGTCATTCGAGGAACACAAAGCCATTTTGAAGTGGTATTTGAAATTCGAGAACAGGCTGGGCTTGGTGGCTCAGCCTGTAATCCCAGCACTTTGGGGAGGCCGAGGTGAGTGGATTACCTGAGCCCGCAGGTTCGAGACCCGCCTGGGCAACTTGTCAAGACCTCATCTCTACAATAAATCAAAAATTAGCTGGGTGTGGTAGCATGCGCCTGTAGTTCCAGCTACTTGGAAGGCTGAGGCGGAAGGATCACCGGAGCTCAGCAGGTCGAGGCTGCGGTGGCCGGCTCGCGGCCACTGCACTCCAGTCTGGGCGACAGAGTGAGACTCCAACTCAAAAAAAAAAAAAGAAAGAAATTCAAGAACAGTTTGGAAGTACGGCAACAATGGAGGCGTGAGCATACAACAGAATATCCAACACACCTAACAATCGCACACATTTGTGGTAAGGTCGAGACACATGGTAATGTGTGTAATGTGCATGAGGGAAGATCCGGAAGGCCTTGCACAGCAACAAGCCCTAGTTGCCGTAATCAGAAATGTCTGGATGCTGATGGTCACCACTTTGAGCACCTCTTATAATTGTAGAAGTCAAATGTGACTTGTATTCCTATTTTGCTATCGGTATCTATTGAGTATTACAATTGCAATACAGTTTTTTACTTTCTTAAAATGTGTATATATTTTTTTGGCACCACGTGTATGTGTAGAGAGAGTGAGAAAGAGAGATGTATTGGGGGGGTTGGAAGGATGGGTACAGACAAAGCAAATGTGAGAGTTGATTTAAGTGTTCTATATGTGGGCTTAAACATTTTAAAGATAAAAAGTTGCAGGGAGCCGGGCTCGGTGGCTCAGCCTGTAATCCCGCGCCTTGGGAGGCTGAGGTGAATGGATTGCCTGAGCCTGCGGGTTCGGGACCTGCATAGGCAACTTGGCGAGACCTCATCTCTACAATAAATCAAAAAATTAGCCGGGCATGGTACCGCACACCTGTAATTCCAGCTGCTTGAAAGGCTGAGGTGGAAGGATCGCCGGAGCTCCAGCAGGTCGAGGCTGCAGTGGCCGGGGACGGCCACTGCACTCCAGTCTGGGCGACAGAGTGAGACTCCAACTCAAAAAAAAAAAAAAAGAAGTTGCAGGGAAAAATTGATTCAGGAGACAGACTGAAGGAAACGTAAGGATTGTTGGTATATGCCTCATACCCTTTGACCTAGTTATTCTACTCTAGCAATTTGTCTTTTTTGTGTGTTTTTTTTTCAGGTCAGAGTCTCACTCTGTCACCCAGGCTGGAGTGCAGTGGCACGATCACAGCCACTACACCCTTAATCTCTTTGGCTCAATCTCCTGGGCTACTTTCCAAGTAGCTGGAACCACAGGTTCCCCACACCCAGCTAATATTTTGATTTATTGTAGAGACAAGGTCTCACCAAGTTGCCTAGACTTGTCTTGAACCCCTGGGCTCAGGCAGTCCTCTTGCTTCCAGCTCCCAAAGTGTTGGGATTACAGGCGTGAGCCACTGCGCCCAGCTGGATATTTGTCTCTTATGGAAAAAGCTAAAGGTGTCCAAAACATTTAGCTATAAAGATGACATTGCAGGCTGGGCATGGTAGCTCATGTCTGTAATCCCAGCACTTTGGGAGGCTGAGGCGGGAGGATAACTTGAGCCCAAAAGTTTGAGATCAGCCTCGGCAACATAGTGAAGCCTCGCCTCTACAAAATATCAAAAAATTAGCCAGGCGTGGTAGCACATGCCTACTTGGGAGGCTGAGGCAGAAGGATCCCAGCTACTTGGGAGGCCGAGGCAGAAGGATCATCTGAACCCAGGAAGTCGAGTTAGCTGTGATCTTGCCACTGCACTCTAGTCTGGGCAACAGAATAAGACTCCCAACTCAAAATTTTTTTAAACTTTAAAAACGCAAATACATTTTTTTTAAAGAAGTAACTTACCAAACCTTACATAGGACATGGTCCCATTTTTAAAAACTGTGTATATAGGCTGGGTGTGGTGGCTCACACCTGGAATCCCAGAACTTTGGGAGGCTGAGGTGAGAGGATTGCCTGAGCTCAGGGGTTTTAACCAGCCTGGGCAACATGGTGAGACCTCGTCTCTACAATAAATCAAAAAATTAGCCGGACATGGTGACGCATGCCTGTAGTTCCAGCTACTTGGGAGGCTGAGGTGAAGGATAGTCTGAGCCCAGGAGATTGAGTCTGTGGTGGCCATGGGCATTCCTCTACATGCAGCCTGAGCAACAGAGTGAGACTCCAACTCAAAACAAAACAAAACAAAACAAAAAACCCAAAAGCAAGGATCTAAAGGATGCAACGTTACGTTGCTTGATGGATTTTTGCCCCTGTTTTTGTGACTTCAAAGTGAAAATAATTCCAGGAAAGCACTTGTTAAAGCTGTTTAAAAATCCGTGGGTGGGGGTGGTAGTGGGAGAATCTGGAAGGATATATCTTTTAGTTGGTGTGATAATGGATGATTTTAATTTCTTTTTGCCTATCTACATTTGCTGATTTTTCTAGAATACGATGTACATTGTTTATATGTGCTTTTAAAAAGTAATTGTAACCAGGAAAGTTATTAAAATTGGAGAAGTCACTTTTGATCAGGCTTGTACCATTCACGACAACCAGAAACAGCCAGATAGATAGATGTACGGTATGCATTCTTTTATATTTCAAAGTATGAACTATTATGTGATGGAAATGTGAACTCCAACAGGTTCCTAAACTTTGCTTGGAACCCCATGATTTCTCTCTGTCTCTCTGGTAAAAGATTCTCAAATTGTTGACATGCTCTGGGATTGGTAAGTAGCGTTGCTATGAAACCTCCTGATAACCTTCTCTACTCTCAAGGCCTCTTTGGTGGGTAAGCAGTGTCTTCTCATATCAAAGCCCTGGAACAGAGTACTGTTAGTCCAAGGAAAACAATCCATCTTACCCTGAAATCTGCTTGTTGAAATTTACTAAATCATACCCAACTACAGGAAATCCATTCTAAAATCTCAGTATGGGATTATTATTTGACTCAGTGCCTTTCATCTGTTAAATGGCATTAGGAATGATATTACCTGTTCTGTCTACCTCCTACAATTGTGAGATTAGATACGAGGAAGACCTTTCAGAAAAGAGACCCATTTCCCACCCTTAGATCTCCTGTTTGGCGGCTTTATTCATAATCTGCAAAAACTAGACATAACCAACATGATCTTCAGCTGGTGAGTGTACAAACAAGATATGGTGTATCCATACGATGGATACAATGAAATACTACTCGTCAATAAAAAGAAACAGACTGCTGATAACGGCAACCACATGGATGAATTTCAGAAGCATTTTGCTAAGTGAAAGAAGCCAGATCCAAAAGACTACATACTATATGATTCAACTTATATGATATTCTGGAAGAGGCAAAACTGCAGGGACAAAAAATTGGTCAATGGTTGCAGAGGCACGGGGGAATGTTGAAGGGGTGGCTGATGGAACTATTCTGAATCATGATTATGGTAGTGACTGTATGCTTTGGCAGAACTCAGAGAACTATACACTAAAAAGTAAATTTTACTGTATGTGAATTATGCTCATTTTAAAGAAAATTTTCTCAAGCTTTAGATTAATTCCTTGATGGTCATGAAGACTCTGTGGTGTATGACTTACAGGACAAGGATCTGGAGGTTTCCTGGAGCAGGAGAGGGTAGGGGTGAGGTATGGAACCTTATTAGCTAAGCCAGCTGAAACATCTCTTTGCAGGGAGTTTGTCAGGGAGAAAAAGTACCGGACAGAGGCTGAAATGTTTGGGTGGAGCTTTGTCTTTGAGGACTTCGTCTCCAGTGAGCTAAGAAACAAAGCGACTCAGCAAATGAAGGTGAGAGAACCTGGTCTTACAGCTGAGAGAGTGAGAGTGGGACCTAGAAGGAAAATCCTGTGGGGTCCTCTGGGCCACAACGAAGAATCAGACCTGGGAGCAGGAGGCAGAGAGGAAGCAAGAGAAACCACTCTGGAGAGTCAGGCAGACACACGCCTCTAGGAGGTTAACCCTGAGCTAGTTCTTGTATAGAGAGACTCTGATAAAGGTCCAAATCAAGATCAGGTTCAGGACACTTCCTGAACCAGCAGGAGAACTTTTTTTTTAATTGTAGGGATGAGGTCTCATCAAGTTGGCCAGGCTGGTCTCGAACCCGCGGGCTCAGGCATTCCTCTCATTTTGGCCTCCCAGAGTGCTGGGATTATAGGTGTGAGCCACTGCGCCCAGCCTAGGAGAACATCTTGCCAAGCCTACCTCTAATAAGGGTGCTGAGATGTGACTCTTTAAAGATTCTCGCCGCAATCTCACTTGCATCACCTGAGTTTTGGCCTTAAGCCTCTGTTCTACCTCCTGTGGCTTAGTCAGGAAGGTGCCCTTGCTGGGCCACAGCATGTTGGTCATACTTCTTTTTTGCAGTCTGTTCTCTGGTGGCTTCCAGTAGAAAAGGCATTTTGGAGGCAGGTAAGTGTGGTTCCTCTGCTTTATTTTCTACCCCTACTGACTCTCATTCTGGAGGCCTTGCTTCCCTGTACCCCTTGCATGTCTAGGAATACTGACTTGAAAAAGATGACAGTGGAATTTTAGGGAAATAGCCAAGCAGTCCTGTTCCCTCTGCTCTAATTTTTTTCCCTATTGCCCACCCCATTTCTCCCTTGAGTCTCTCAGTCTCTTTTTCTAACTCTGGACGGGCCTCACTCACCAGGCTTTCTCTTCCAACTTCCTTGCTCCATCTAGTGGTAAAAGCTGAACTAGTCACCCTAAGCCTAGCCTGCTCAGACTTCCATGAATTCCCAGAAACCTGTCTCATTTCACCCCGGCTATCAGCCTGCAGGTCCTGGTTCTGGCATCCGAGAGAGACTGGAGCACCCCGTGGTACACGTGAGCTGGAATGATGCTCGTGCCTACTGTGCTTGGCGGGGAAAACGCCTGCCCACTGAGGAAGAGTGGGAGTTTGCTGCCCGAGGAGGCTTGAAGGGTATGCAGATGACAAGGCGGCTGCCCTTTATTCCTCTCCCCGGGTTGGGAAGGGTCTATGATCCCTAGAGCAGTGCTTCTTTTTTATCTTTATTTTTTATTTTTTTATTTTTTTGAGTTGGAGTCTCACTCTGTCACCCAGACTGGAG